ATTTTGAAAGGAAAAAAATTCAAAATTGAAAAATATGTTCATGTGAGTCTTAAGTTGTCAAATAAGTAACATACCAGTACTTTTGTAACTCAATTCTGCATATCATAACGATATTTACCGGAATTCTAACCTATGAGATGCAGACATAGAAGATAAAGCTTTTGCATTAACCGCAAAATTCTTGTTAATAATATGATTATTATACAAGCACGCGTATTCCGCTTCTCCCGCAAAACGCTCCAATGGCGTAATCGCGGTGAGTTTCTTTGAACGAGAGTGTGGTCATGTGACATCCAGGAATTGCCACAAAATGAAACGATTTTCTGGTGCAAGTTTGACGGGCCTTTGTTCCCTTCTTCAGAGATTTTACTGGATTTAGAAAGTTCTGAAACCCGACACGACATTATTTAGTAATATAATGTACGCTTATGCAATTATTTTTTGAATTAGAAGAAACTTTGCAAAATCATCAAATTCACAAAACACATTATATGCCATATTAACAGCCATTGCATTGTAACCAGGAATGTTGAAAGCACGTGGCATTTTTCGGAATTTTGCGACATTGCATCCATTTCTCATTGATATGCGAGGTTATGATATTAATGTCCAGAATATTTGTGACCGTAACACAATTAAAACCGACAGACTTTTGTCATTACGATATCTTATCTCTATTATTTAGCGCTGATAATGATAAATAAGAGTGTGTAATTGTAATTGTTGATTGCAATTCCGGAGGCGTATTTTCCTTTCTCTCCATGAAACGATTTTTACCGCCGTCGTGGGTGCATAAAAGGAGAGAAGAGTTATAAGTTAATATAAGGACGTACTTTTCCCGACTCAATCACTTTTATGAATACGAATCACAGCGCATTGAAAAGACAAATAGAATTTAATAACATTAATTTACAACGATTTACGGGTAAGAACTAACCTAGGGCTATCGCTAACAGGTAGAAACGATAAATGTAAAAAAAAAAAATTCCCTTGCCTTTTTGTGTCATATTTTTCAATTCCTAATTCTGCACAGAGCGTGTCAGCACCGTTTTTGTAAATTTAGAAACGTCGAACCATGCAAATAATGTAATTATGGAAATTTCTCGAGATATCGGGAAAACATATTTTTATTGTGAACTCACAATTCTTTTTTTTTTTTTTTTTTACGATTTTTTTTTTTATTTTTTTATTAGATTTTCATAAAATAAAATAATATTGAATTAATCAATATTAGAAGATAAATAATACATTCATAAAAAGTAATATTTCACACTGTTTGAAATTGTAATCTAATAGTATGGTATGAGTAAACAGAAGATTGGAGAAATTTCACATTTTATCTATATACTATACAATCAATTACTAAATAAAATTATATTGAAATAAACAATATCAGTAATACAGTCATGAAGAGTATCACAATGTTTGCATTCGCAATCTAATTATGTTATTAGAAAACTGAGAAAATCTGACATTATATGTATATACCATACAGGGGCAATCATTTAGCAGAAAAAATTTCACATTTTAGGTATATACCATATAAGGGCAATCATATAGCAAATAGAATAATATTGAAATGACAATTTTTAATTCAGCAATACAGTTATAAAAGGTAATTTCTCACAATGTTTGCAATTGTAGTCTAATAATGTTATAAGAAAACAGCAACATATCACATTTTATGTATTTAAGGAAAGAAAAACAATAATATGTAATTAAATAGCAAAAAGTCACTTGATCGACTATTATATAAATAAATGCCACTTTCTTTTGTGTATCAGGATTTTACTATTTTTCATTGCTATATATTTCTCGTTGTCACGAATATCACGAATAAATTTATAAAAAACATCAAAAATTGGTTTTCGTTTCTGGATCCGGCATCTATATATAAAGAAGCGGGCAGCCAATAGTACACAATTGATGAATTGTATTTCAGGAATGTCATCAAAGCCCATAAAACATTCTTTGATGGAAAGATCAAAATTCAAGTTATCTGTCTTAAAAACAATCCACTGGTCTATCTCGGACCAAAATTTACTAGTTATCTCACAATAATAAATAAATGCAAAAGGGTTTCGATATGTAATTTACAAAATTCACAATTCTGTCCGAAATATAATATATTTTGCTCGCCACTAATCACACCGCGCATGTAAATAAATAATCATTAATAAATGGCAATAAAAAATCACCTTCATTAACAATAAATTCCAAGTAATAGTTCCACATTTCATGCATTTGATCGGCGCTACACGCGAGCGCGTTTTTGTACATACAAACCATTATGAGGCTACTGATATCTGCATGTTATAGTTCTCTCTAAAATTAATTTTCGCGATTTTTGGTGTTTTATTTCTGAATGCGGATACCCGCTGACTACGGATAAATGGTCGATGTTTAAAATAGGACTTGCAAAATATTCACCAACACCGACAGGCAAAGAAAGGTGTGCTATATGTAACTGGAATTTCGTTTCATTATGTGGTCGTGAAACACACTTTTGCACCAATTTTCGAGAATCATCCTCGTTGTATTTCGTGTTTCTTCGCAAATTCTGCCTATATATGATGTTTTCTACCCGAAAAAAAATCTTCGGAGTGAAAGTAGGTTACCCTATCTCGTAAAGCGGGAGATGACTTTCAAAGTAATATTGTGCAAATGTGCAATATTTTGGAGAAAAAGGGAAAGTAGGTTAACTTATAGCTTGCTTGAAACAGCGAGTGGCCTCTATCAAAGTGATATTGCTTAAATAGCGGAGAAAAAAAAGAAAAAAATCTTCGGAGTGAAAGTAGGTTAACCTATCTCGTAAAGCGGGAGATGACTTTCAAAGTAATATTGCGCAATATTTTGGAGAAAAAGGTTTGAAGGGAAAGTAGGTTAACCCTCTTTTTTTTAACAACACAACAATCGATAAAGAATGAAAAAGGGAGCCGGAGAAACATGACGTCAAACAATCTTATAAAACTGGAAGAGGAGAGAACACTTTCAAGCATATTCTATCGGACGAGGAAGCGTGGTATACTAAAGCGATAGCGCCCAGATTTGACCTACCTACGAGGATGGAAAAAGTTTGTCATAGATTTATTATGATAAAATAGGCTTAGCTTAGAATATGAATCATCGCATGGTGCGTTAGTGCGCAATCAATTTGTGGTAGATTAATTACAATTCCACTTCCTAATATTACGTTAAGCCAATTTTACCCGTAATTATGATTGAGGCATTTACCACTTTACTTTCTTAGAAATTACCTTAGGAGGCATGGCAGAGAAAAAGGAACAACTACATGATATTCTAGAGCTTGACGCTTGGCCGGAGAAATGGAAAAGAGAGTTTCCATATATTATACACGATAAGAAAACAGGAACCGCAATCTGCACGTATGTTACTTACATTTCTGAGTTCATTAAAAGAAAATTAGACAATATGGACCTTTGATCGAAGAATTCACAAACAAGGAGGCAGTAGTGATGGAATGGCAGAATCTTCGTCATGATCTGCATATTCTCCAATTACCGGCTATGGAGAACGTAAGTTCTAATCGGTAGCTACCATTTGTATTTATTTGTCGTATGCTTCTGATCTCTCATCCAACACACGCACTTAGCTTCGAAGCATATGAAACCTAATTTAATATATGCAAATAAATTACAGGTATGCAAGTACTTAGCGGCAGCGCCCGAGTACCCATGCTTTCAAGTGCTGGGCAAACTTCAAGTTTTCGCAGCCGGTACCTCGGGGGCCGAACGAGAGTTTTCGTCAATAAACATAAGACGAAACACAGGTAAAAATTATTATAACAATTTTGAAAGTATGAGAATTTGAGAAAACTTCTTACTTACTTATTTAGAAAATAGGACTATATTTGATATTGATGAATACCACTTTTGTAGGAATAGGATTAGCAGCAGACACCTAACAATGCTTCTGAGATGTGGCGGGGAGACATCCATAAAAGCAGACAAAGCGGAATGAATCATTCTTCATGGATGTCTTGCAACATTGGAAAGATTCCAAGCTACTTCGCCACGAACGGGCTGCAGAAGCCATGCCATCCATTTTTATTCGTTCGCTTTTGTATTTTTATTTGTGAATAAAACAAATGTGTGAACTGTGCAATTTTGTTACTTGATATGGAATCCTTGTAACCCTGTAACTTTCTCTCCTTGAAAACAAGGGTTGACCCCCGGGATATTTAATGCGCCACTCATGCAAAATGTATGTTATGATTTGAGAAAAATACCGTCGTTACTTTTTAAATAACAAATTAATAATTATCCGATTGGTTCTGGCTCCGCCTGCAAATCCTTTTATGCACAGACCTCATGTGGAAACACCATGTAACAGTTATCTGAAACGGCGAAACATTAATGTAATCCTAAGGCGAAGTTTGGTATCGATCTATGGCGGACAGTAACACGAATGTGCAAGGTTTTGCTGGTCATTCGAGCAATTGACTCCGGTCGTTGATTGCAGGAAAGTTTCGTTCACGACAGGTGTGCTAAGCAGGTGTCCTTCCGTTAGTGATGAATTTGCTTCAAATCGCGACAGGTGTGCTTAGCAGGTGTCTTTCCTTGCCGATGAATTCTCTTGTTTTAATCAAGATTTAAAGGAACAGAGAGACTCTTTTTAATTCGTGAAATTCACAGAATGAGCGCTGTTTCCAGTATTTATTTCTGAAATAGTTAAAATCGAAAAAAGCACTTTGTTGTTAAAAATCGAAAAAAAGCACTTTCGCACTTTTTTTTTTCGACTGCGAAGCACTTTCGCACTCATAATTTCCTTAGAGTTAACACTGATGTGTGGACAAAGATGGTTTGATATGTCCGAAATTTAATTTTCGCTAGAATACTATGTATTAATTGAGAGAACATTTTAAAAAGAAAAATGCAATTTCTGTATTTATTTCAAATTATTGTCAAAACAAATATATTTCAATTTTTTCAAAATAGTTCTCCTGAACTGGTAAGATAGAACAATTCAATCGCCAAAAAATGAATCAGCAGCATCATGACAAATGTTCTCTGGATATTGAAACCATTAATAAAAAGATAAAGTTTGAATGTGAGGTATGCGGGAAACAATACTCTACGAAAGGCACCATGAATCAACACCTCAAAAAACATTTTGCGAAGAAGACTCATGAATGTACTGCTTGCGGAAAAAGATTTATATTCAAACGTTACCTGGATAAACACATTATTTCCCACGCCCATCCAGACTTGAAACCGCATGAATGTGGAATATGCAAGAAAAAATTTTCTGTTTTAAGTGTCTTGAAAATACATCTACTCATTCATTCGGAAAACAGAAAGTACCATACATGTGAAATATGTGGGAAAAAATTGACAAGTATGAGAAATCTGGAAGAACACATGTTAAGTCATATTGGTGTCAAATTACATAAATGTGAAATATGCGAAAAGAAACTTACTACTGCTGGTGGTTTGAAAGTGCACTTGAGAACTCATTCGAAAGAAAAGCCGTATGCGTGTGAGACATGTGAAAAAACGTTTAGTCGTAGCAGTAACCACAACAGACATTCGAAAAACCATACTGACAAGAGAGGATATAAATGTGAAATTTGTTCGAAAATATTTAGTTGGAAAAGCAGTCTTAAATTGCATATGGGAACCCACATCGGTGACAAGAGGTATCAATGTGGAAAATACTTGACTGGAACTCATAGTTTAAATCGTCATCAAGTTGTTCATAGTGCAGAAAGAAATCATAATTGTCCATTGTGTGACAAATCATTTAAGCGTGCAGACGATGTGGATAAACATTTGCGTGTGCACACTAGTTAGAGGAACATTGAATGCAAAATATGCGGGAAGAAATTTAACAGCTCATATAACGAGAAAAGGCACATGATAATTCATATTACGAAGGGAAAATTTTTGAAATGCGGACTGTGCGCAAAAATGTTCAAACAACCCTCACATATACCGGTCCACACTGGCCCAAAAGTTCATAAATGTGAAATATGTACAAAATCGTTTAGATTAGAACAATTTCATGTTTAAAAAAGCATGTGTATGTGCACAGCATCTCCAAAAACTTTAAATGTGAAGTGTGTGCGAAAAGATACAAGCACCCTGCGAGTCTATATAGACATTCACTCCTTCATACTGACGTAAAACGAAAAGAATAAAGACTTCTACATTCTTTAGAAATGCCCTTCTCTGTACTGGCCAATGTGGGACGTGTATCCGCTTCACAAGTGTCGCGAAGAAGGCTCTGTATGTTTTATGTGCATTACTGTTTTTGATTTCGACCGTGTAACTGTTTTAAGATTTGATTGTACATTTTTGTAATTCAAACAATTTGGCATAACAAATACTTTGGGTGCTTTTTGGCCTGAGAAGAGTCAGATTTAGGTTCAACTCTGCTAATACGTTACTGGGACAAAAGACAGAACCCCTATAACGACCCAAATAACTATCGCTGTTATGAAAACAATCCTGAATTTAACAAATGCAATTTCACGCACTATTAGCGACTTTTTCAGTCTACAAAAATTTCATGATAGTACACGTCATTCACATCTCAGAATTTGAATAACAATCAGTTGAGGATAATAAGATAGTCTTAGAGCAGTAATCGGAAAATTGTATCCTACTGCGAACACTCGTCACAAACAAGTCTTGAATGATGCATAGAAAAAAAAAATTGTCCGCCTAAGCACTTCGGAATACTCGAACCTTGACGCCAACTTTTCTACGTTTCTTAGGATAGGATAGGATTTACATATTTATCCCGGGGGAGAGGAAAGCCGATACGTGTTGGGAAGTCTGATGAGCAGATTCTTTACAGATTACCAACTTGAGTGTCTTTGTATAAATCCAATGTTTGTGAATGAAGCATAACACATTTAACCTAATGTAAGTCTAACTGTTAACAAAGATCTTAATACAACCAAATACTCCAATCAGTTAAATAGAAAATAACACAAACATGTATGATACAGGTAGAGAGAAATGGCATAGAAACAGGATGGCAGAAATGGCATATCCCAATATCTCCCCTTCGTAAAGGAAAAAGATATTTGTTTTTCAAAATATCACAAAATGACAAAGTGAATAAATAACGAAATAGCAACAGGTAAAGAAACATTTGAACAGCAATAAACAAAGAAATAAAAATTGTTCAGTATTCATTATCAAATGTCTTATTTTATCACATAGAACAGTCAGTATAGTCACGTTCATTCAGACAGCCCTGGCTTGTTGTAAGGCTGTAGGCGTCTCAATGCCAGAGGTAATCTTGGTGGGTGCGTGGCTGGACGAGAAATAGCTGAGGGATTAGTTTGGTTTGACAAAGGGCGAAAAGGTGGGGGCCCCGAATTTGGAGGGTGGTTAGCTCTGGAGATATGGCTAGAATGTGGCAGGTTGGGTGATATGGGAATTGTAGCTTGGGGTTCGAACAAAATAGGCTTTAGGAATCTCCGGTTTCGTGTGACTGTTCTCCCAGATCCATCCATTCTAATCAAGTATTTACGGTGTTTGAAGCATTTCACAACTTTTCCTGACCTGTCCCATCTTTTGTTGATGGGATTTTGGATTGAAACGTTTGTTCCTTCTTCTAAAAATGGTAGGTCGTGTGCATGTTTGTTGTATTCAGTTTGTAGGTCAATATATTCCTGAGAAAGAGTTTTTTCTCTAGCTTTGGCTGCTTGTGTCCACAGTGGATTGAGCCGTAGGTTTGATGGGTGAATAGGTAAGAAGTCCCTCAGATGCCGAGAAAACAAAAGTTGTGCTGGACTGAGTCCAATATCACGGAGAGGGGTGTTTCGATATTGAAGAAGTGCTTTGCCGAATGAACGACTTTTTGGGGAACCGTCTGGCAGTAAATTGTCCCGGATGAGTCGTTTGGCTGTTTTTACGGCAAGTTCAGCTCGCCCATTTGATTGTGGATAGTGTGCTGACGAGATTCGACCTTTCACACCCCAAATTTCCAGAAATTTCTTGAATTCCTCTGAAGCAAACTGAGGGCCACCATCAGTACTGAGTTCTTCAGCACAGCCAAAGCGCGTGAAAAGTTGTTCGAAAACAGGAATGATGCGGTTTGTGGAAGGTGATCGGTGAAAGTGGGCAATTTCAATCCATCCACTGAATCTGTCTGTGATTGCTAAGTAATCGTTACCATTTAGATAAAATAGGTCAGCACAGATTTGTTGAAAAGGCCATTGGGGTGGAGGTGTTGGTATGATAGTTTCTTGAACTTGAGATGGTGCAATATAGGAGCGAGTGGAGCAAGAAGATTTGAAGTTGAGAATGCATTTGTTCATTCCCGGCCAGTACACACAATCTTTTGCCCAAGCGACCATATTTGTGCAGCCCTGGTGGGCACTGTGTAGTGTATGGAGCACAGATGATCTGAGCTGTCGAGGGATAACGAATCTTTTGTTATCTAAAACAATGATCTTGTTGTCGAAACAAGATAGTCTGTTACGTAGTTCCCAATAGGAGCGAACCTCCGGTGAAGTGGCACTTCTTGTGGGAGGGAATCCAGAAGAAATAGTTTCATGTAACAGCTTATGTGATTATGTGAAGCGTTTTGAAGCCTATCGATAGTTATTGCCCGATACGTAAGAGGTCCATTCTTGTTTTCAATGTAACAATTTAAGGCTTGTATTGTCTTGTGCATGAGAGACCAAGTGGTGTCGTCCTCTAGTTCAGCAGCAAAGAGGTCTTCATCAGTTGGATTAGAGGCAGAAAGTACTGGATTCCTTGAAAGCGCATCTGGCCCTCTGTGCCATTTCCCACAACAGTGGTGTATGGAGAAATCGTATTGAGAAACTTTTGATCTGAATCTCAGCACGCGTGGGTTGCTGATGTCAGATAGTTGTCGGTTGCTGAACAATGGGATGAGGGGTTTGTGATCGGTTACTACAATGAGATCTTTACAGCCGGGGATGAAAGGCTTGGCATGGTCTAAGCTCCAAGCAACCGCAAGCGCTTCGCCTTCGATGGGTGCATAGTTTCTTTCAGCTTGTGAAGTGTGCCGAGAGCCGGCGTATACGAGATGCCAACCATCAGGGCAACAATTTGGGGCTTCATTTGTACCGCAGGTACAATATTTCTGTAGAAGTAGATAGCCAATGCCGTCCTTGCTCCAGTCGCATTGAATCAAAGATGGTCGATGAAGGTCAAATGATTTGATCCCTTCTCACATAGGGTTGATAAGTTTCGCTTTCGATTTCTCAAATATAGATTGAAGAGTGTCGTCCCATATGAATTTGGATCCCTTTTTTATTAGGTCGCGAAATGGGAGCATAATGGGGAAGATGGCATAAGCCCATGATATTTGATTTACCAAGCCGTGCCAACTTCGAGCGTCGTGAATGTTTGTCGGAGGTGGAAAGTTTTTGATGGAGTCAAGAAGCGCTGGGGCAGGTGCAATCCCAGCAGGGGTTATTTTAAGGCCAGCAAATATGATGGTATCCTGACAGAATTTGAATTTATCAGGATTGAATACTATCCCCTTTTGAACGCTCAGTGTGAGAAAATCCCAAACTTGATAGAAGGATGATTGAATGTCACTCTCATATAGGCATAGGTCATCCACTACATGCTGTACTTTTTCAATGTTTGACTCTTCTAGAATGAGATCGAGGTTGCGATTGAAAATATCTCCTGCAGATTTAAAACCTTGAATAAGACGTGTGTTCATAAATCTTCCCCATGGTGTGATGAACGTTGTCAGTGGTTGACTTTCCTCATCTAGTGGGACGCTATGATAGCCATCAGTGATGTCCAAAATAGACTTTTCGTGTTAGGAGGAATTTTGCAGGCAGCTTTGAATGGAGATGGATTATAGTGAGCTTCTCGTATGCACTGGGCGTTCAATTTCTGTAAATCAATAGTTCGCCGGATAGATCCATTTTTCTTCAAGAGTGTGACCATGGGTGAACACCATGGTGTGATCATGCCTGGAGGTACGGGCTTTACTATGCCCTTTTCGACATCGTCCAGTAGTTTTTGCTTTGCTGGTTTCTCCATATGTATGGGTATTGGAATCGGTGTGTGGCGTGCATATGGGATAGCCTTCGGTTTGAGGTAGATGTGTGCAGGTGGTCCCTGCATTGTGGGGAATGGTGGAGATCGGTCAAAGGCGGAAGCCTTGAAACTATCCAGAATGTACAGTTTCAGTCTAGTTATGTTGTCCTCAGTTGGAGGAAAAGGAATAGACATAGGTCTGGTCGGTAGTGATTGAACCCGTTGATTTGTGATTGAGGGTTTTGTGGGAGACCTTGTGCTCGTAAGAGAGTTTATTGAGCTGGCATTAGGTGATGGCAGTGGAAAACTCTTCGGTAGGATGTCCAATGCTATACATGCATCTTTGCTTAAATATAGATGGCGTAGCTTTATCCCAGGTTCAGTAAAGTATAGTTGTTGTTTTGTTTGTTTACCATATCCAATAATATTTATGTTTACGTTGGCATAGCAGTAAGCTTTGATAGTACTACCTCCTACAATGCGAATGCTTTTGTTACATTTTTGTAGAACTCTCTTCGATATGTGCAAATATGAAATATATGGATGTTCAGCGACACATATTGATGCTCCACTGTCCGGTAGTGCTGTCACAGGTTTGGAGCAGATGCTGTTTGCTGTAGACGAAGTATGAGAGATCTGAACTTTGATTTCAGCTAATGAGGAGTGTGGATCTCCAACGTTATAAAGTGAAATTACGCTAAGATTGGCTTTTTCATCCACAGAATCTGAGTCTGACTGGGACTCGGATGATGTCATGGACTGTGCCTGTATTGCATTGCTTTTTGCGGAGAAGCATACTTTCTTGTAATGATTATCTTTTCGACAGTGAGAACAAGTTTTTCCCCATGCTGGGCATCGATTCTTCCTGTCCATTTCTGTGGATCCATGATTAAGACTGCCACATCCCCTACATGCAATGCGTCCTGAAGATGACTTCTTGCTAGGGCTTCTCTTTTGACGTTGTCTTTGTGTGGCGAAGTGTGATACAGAATATGATTGTGTGTGGCAGTGTATCGTTTCTTGATTTCGAATAGCCGATTCGTAAGCGGTGGCATACTTAACAACTTCCTCTAAGGTAATAAGGGCCTTTTTGTCTGCGCATTTGGACAGTATGTCAGCCTGAAGGGTTGTGTTGCAGATGCCCTTGATGAGCTGATCCCGAACGTGCCAGTCGGTTTGATCAAACTTGCATGCTTCGCTTGGGCATATGTATTCGCAGTCGTGTGCCACAGAAAGCAGTCTGGCTACAAACTGTGTGACTGTTTCCCCAGTATGTTGCTGCATGTCCATGAATTTTGTTCTGTGCGTAAGAGGATTTAATTCTAGTGTGACAATGTTCCTGATTTTAGATAGGAATTCCTTTTCGGTTAAGTCTCTGAACTCTGAACATGTGTTGTTGATGATTTTTTGAACTGCCTGATCACATGCAGAGTAAAGTAAATCATTGGCATGAACACTTGCATGTGGTTGAAGGTTCTTGAATGTTGTCCACACGGATAAAGCAGTGCGAAAATCAGAACTAGACATTCTAGTTGAGAATTCAGGTAACTTTACGGGCAGATTTAGTTTGGTGGGCTGAGAAGAGTTGGATATGTTTTGCTGAGAATGATTCAATATTTTAATTTGATGTGCTAAGATTGTTATACCCAAATCACTTTTAAGAGTATTTTTGTCCAGCTGTGGTAATTCAGTCTCAGTGAGCTCATTAGCATGAAATGTATTTCCATATTCATCGGATCTCTCATCGGGGATGCCGAGAGATTTGAAAAAAGTACTCCAGCTGGTAGCATCTGTTAGTCGCAGCGCCATGTTGGGAAGTCTGATGAGCAGATTCTCTACAGATTACCAACTTGAGTGTCTTTGTATAAATCCAATGTTTGTGAATGAAGCATAACACATTTAACCTAATGTAAGTCTAACTGTTAACAAAGATCTTAATACAACCAAATACTCCAATCAGTTAAATAGAAAATAACACAAACATGTATGATACAGGTAGAGAGAAATGGCATAGAAACAGGATGGCAGAAATGGCATATCCCAATAATACGACGGCTTATTCATATGGCGAACCACGGCCTCTCGTCCGGTTACCATTCCAAGTCGGGTTTGGGATTAGATTTACTGTATTGTTTGTTTTCGGAAGCATGGACTTGGTGGTGGAGGAAGCCGTAACCGACCAGCGGTTACGTGAACCACCCAACGACGGCGAGGAGTCCAGCAATCCTCTCGCACATAACCATCCCTGCATGGGATTCGAACCTGCGAACCCACGCAGAGTAGTTAGAGGTGCGGTGGCGAGCGTATTCCTAACGCTTAGCCCGTTGAGCCACACCGCCGCGCCTTGGGCACATTGGGCACAATTTTTGTTTTAATGCAATAAGATAGAGGGCCAAATTGTGACAAACGACTTGACTGTTTTAAGAAATAGAAATACGACTTGACACCATATTACAGTCATCGAGGATGGGTGATGATAATTTTAAGAAGAGCTCTGATCAAAAAAATATCTTTTGCTGAGAATTTTATCTTTCACTGAAATTTAAATACGCATCGATTTCGTATTCAATTGTGTACACTTACTTCCGATTTCCAATTTTTGCCCAAAACTGAGCTCAAGTTTAGTAGTAAATCATGGATACTTCATTGTAGATATTTAGGTTAGAATCAAAAAGTCGTAACAACAACTTAATTGATATTTCCAATTGTGGAAAGCATCTTGAAACGCTTTCCTACAGACGTGCACAAAGCGCGACATTGGTTGCAATACAACGAGTTTTTGATAGTCGAATTTCAGAGGACCTCTCAGCTCTCTCGACGATCGAACCCAGCTAAAGAAACTCTGCCTTGGTTATATTAACTCTGACTTGGACTTCGGGTAAGATATGGTGCCGCTGGCGTATCTTCAAAAATTTACCAAACACTACGAATTCACCAATATTTGATAAAATGGCCTTACGTTTAAAGCGTTAGAACGGTTCCAATACAATATACTGGATGTAATAAGTCCGCAATGACAAACTGAAAATATTCGAAATTTTGCAGACTCTGTCATACAAAGCATAGTTTGACGTAAAATGCTCAAATAGGAGTCACATATAGTCAGTGCCAGCGACACTGTTTCATTTATTCGCGGAAAGATGTTAGAAATTAAATCAGGCTTTCGAGTGAGAGTTGGAGCTTGGTAAAATTTCTATTCGCACAATTTATTGTTGTTCAAGCTTGACTATACGCTACCTCATTATCCGCTATTATTATGGAGCACGCTCTATCCTTTGTCATTAAGTTTCGTGTCTTCGAGCACTTTTTACTCGAGTCACTATTTGAT